AAAAAATCAAAGAAACAAAAAATTCTCTGAGAAAGAGCCTAAATGGGAAGGTTCATAAGGGCAACATATTTGTCTAAAAGTATATGAGATATTGAATAAAGAAGTGAAAGCATCAGATAGAACAGAAATGAATACGAGGTACAGAGAATGGACCAGAGAGAAAGTCATAGAGACCTGGGAGAAATACACTGGAATGGTCAACGCTAAGACATAGCCTTCTAGAACTAACAGATTCTAAAGAAAAAGAAAAAAAATTCCTATGAAGTTCCAGAGCTGCCCCCACCCCGCCCACAAAAGCCAATTCACATACAATGGAGAGAAAGTCAATTTACATTCTACATCTCCACAGAACACACAGAGCAAGACAGTATTTTTTTAAAACTCCATAAAAGTCATTGTGGGCAAGTACTTGATATTCAGCCAAGCCGTCCGTGCATCACGGCAGAAGAACATGAGTATTAAACATGCAACACTCAGGGAGTCCTGATTGCATCACGAGGAGTCTTTGAAGGATGAACTCCAGCCAGAAAGAGATGACTGGGGAAATTTTCACTTTTAAACAGCTGGTCATCATTGAATATATTTAATTGTATATGTAAAACAAAAATCTAGGAACGGACAAGATGGGAAAAATAGTATGTAAATGCTATATGTTTAACCAGGTTGAAATAATACAATAAGAAGTGGCAGGAAAAGATGGAAGAAAAGAGAAAAATAGAATAATGTCAAAAGTTTGAAGTTGAGAGATATCATTTAAAACATGTAAAACAAATATGAGAAGTTTGACAAGTTCATAAGGAACTGAAGATGTCAAAATAATTTTCGGGCAATGTCAAACACTATCTATACAATCCTTCCTAAATGCCAAACAAAACTCATACAGACACACCCATACACGCACACACAAAGAAAACAAGAAACACGGAGAAAGAGACAGAGCAAATGAAGTCTACTACACAGGGTAAGTAGAGCCTAAGGATATGGGAGGCTTTAGCATATAAATATGAATAGGAGAAACAGGAATATTTACATTAATTTATCCACATCCACTAAAATCAATGATGAAAATAACCATTATAGCATTGAACGTAAAAAATCCACAAGTCCACAGTGATAGTTAAAACAGAAATTTTAATGAAACGGAAGGGGGGAGGAATGTCCTTTTCCACAGCACAATGCCAGCAACTACAAGTTTACATGAATGACTGAATTAGAAAATTCCCAACGTATAAACACGAATATGATAATTGACATACAGCAGGGATCATTAATGGGTGGTAAAAATTTCTAGGGAAAGATCGTTGAGAAGAGGGTATTCATAGTCTCAAAGTACCACTCACCAAATTACTAACGGCAGAAAGAAAAAGATGTGTCTTTACAATGAACAGATCTTGTAGGCCCCTCCATATCAAAGAGACCAATGCTAGTCTCAGTAATGGTGGTGGATAAGCTGGACATTCTTGGTCTCCAGGTGGGCTGCGCTAGGAAGCACACAGCATTAACTAACTATACAGCATTCTTGGAGAAAAGGTGAGCCTGAATTTAATCACGAGGAAACGGTCAGACAACTTCAGAACGTAGACCATTGAGCCAGACGACTGACCTTTCCTCTCCAAACAAGGCAACGTCACCACCACCACAGACAACCACAAAAAGGTAGGAGATGTTTTTGGTTCAAACAGACCAAAGAAATATAACAACATAATCTTTTCAGTCCTTTGGAACCCAAAATATCTCTTCTTTTTCTTGTCTTACTTGTGGTGGCATTGACTGTTGGAAGACAGGCCAGTTGTCTTGGTCAATGGTCTCAATTCTGCAGGTGTCTGATAACGACCTCATGATGAAATTCAGGCTAAACATTGTCAACAAGAACACTGCATGGTTAACGCTGTCTGCTCCTAGCACAGCCCTGCTGGTGGCAAAGAATATCCGGTTTGCCATGTTGTCTTTTTCCAGTTGTTCCCGATTCCGGTTAGGGACAGCACGGGAATTGAGAGGAGCAAGCGTTAAGGTCTCTCAGAACTGTGTGTGGATCTAGGCAATGGTCTCCTTAGCGATTTATCACAATTGGAGGCTGAAGGGCTGGGATGTCTCCCATCAAACCAGGCTGTTGGAGTAAAAATCTTGGAGAGTGGTGTCTGGTTGTGAGGTTCATTCTAAGCCAAGGACCCTCTAGAGTTTTCTTGGGGGCTTTAACTTGATTTGCTGGTTTAGATTTTTTTCATCAAGTGGAAAAGCGACTTTTTATAATGGGGTTTCTTCTTTTCTTCGTTCCACAAGTACTTGGTATCTGAGAGAGACAGGAAAAAAGGTCAGTGTGAGTCCTTGTCAGGTCCTGCTGATAGCTGAGCCTGCAGGGATGGCTACCTGGTGACAGAGGCCAAGAGCAAGCTGAGCTCCTATTGGGAGGAAGAGCTGAAGCGGGGAGCTGCAGGCTGGCTGAAGGGGAAAGTGAGATCCACAAGTTAGAAGAAAAACCTCCCTAAACGTCCATCCAGTCTGTGGTGCAGGAGCTAGGGACCCCTGTCTTCACCTCACCAGGAGGCTGGTGACATCCCAGCTCAGAGCTGCTGCAGAGCCTTAGCCAGATCCCTACCACCCTTTCCTCAGCAGCCGCTTCACTCCTGAATCCCCTTCCTCTGGAGCAAAGTGATGGCTTCTCACACCTCCCCGGGAGGAACGTTCTCAGCCTCCATCACGCACATTCAGAAACAGACTGCTGTTGGAAGGGGAGGGCCATTGGTAGAGAAACACACCCTCTTTTTCTCTATGTCCCAGTCCTCTGAGGATGAGGGGCAGGCTATGGGAAGAGTCCTGGAATGGGAGAGCCTACAGGAACCTCAGAATAGATCCAAACCCAGTTCCACCTTTCACAGAAGAGCAGCTGCGGTGCCAAGGGGCAAAGGACTCACCAAAGCCATGTGACCTGTTACTGACAACCCTAGGACTAGAACCCAGGCCTCAGGCCCTTTCCACACATTTGGGGGAATGTGAGAGGAAAGGCTCCAAGCTGCAGGTGTCAACAGGTAGGTCACCTTGGCTGGGTCACCTTGGCTCTACAAATTCTATCAGCGGCTGATGGATACTCAGCCATTTCAAGGAAGTGGTGAAACGTTTGGGACATTTCTATGTGGAACCTGAGATCATAGGAGACAAATGGCTCCTCTCATCTCTCGCTGTGTAGAGAGTCACTGGGGAGCTTTTTAAAAATACTGAAGCCCAAAACCCACCCCAGACCATTTAAATGAGAATCTCGAGGTGTGAGGTCAAGGCATTCATTTTAAATTACATTTCACCTGTGCTTGTTACATGGCGGTAATAATGCCAGCTCCAGTGAGGTCCTGAGGTGGGGACACTGAGTCCCTGGAAGCCCCATGCAGATGAGCACAGGCCTGCACATCTGGGGCTGATGAGAAACCTCACTCCAGGCCAGTCCAGCACTCCCACCAGTGACCCAGGTTCTCATTTAGGTTTTTCAATGGGGCTCTCTCTCCTCAGTTTTAACACTTCTTATTGACATGGAGAAGTCCAGGGTTAAGGGTTGTCCTAGGTCGGGTTCCCTAAAAGAGGCCCAGGAGGAGGACCCGTGTGCAAGTGATGCATTAAGACAATGTTCCCAGAAGAAACAGGCAGTGGAGTTGGGGAAGCTGGGAAGGGAAGGCAAAGAAGCCAAGAGAGTGTGTGATTTCAGACAGAGTGCAATGTGATCAGTGGCTAAATGATGCTCTTGTGATGAGGAGGACCATGGGGACAGGCTTCCCCGTGGCTAAGAGGAAAGGCGAGAGCGAGTATCAGGACTGTAGCAGTGGGAACACAGCAGAGTTCAGACTGCAAACAGGAGATAGAGATGGAAGGGCCTGGCAGAGTGGCAGCCGCCATGGAAAACAGAGGTAAGACCAGACAGAGGTAGCATCAGTTGTTGGACTGAACACACAAAGAAGAGAAAAAGAGTGGGAGATTGAGCTATAACCTTAGATAGAGAGCAAGCAGGAATAAGTGCATCTAAGAACCACAGATGTGATTACCTCTGGACCCTAAGCTTGAAGGCCAGGGAATCTGCACGCTAGTCTCCATTTGCTGAGCCGTGCTTTTCTTTGGAGAATCCTCTGTTTCATGACGCTTGAGGTGTTACCGTGGCCGAAGACTTGACACCCATGCTTGCTGGCAGCCGAGCCCTCAAGAGCATCACCCTTCAGAGGTTCTGAGGGAGGGTTCTTCATTCTGAGAGTAGCAGTCAAACCCAGCTCTGAAAACAAAGCCACAGCCAATAGGATCCACTGTTATTCCTGATCTTACTGTGATTTACTCCTCCACCCAAGAGGGACATTGAATAAGGAAAGTGGCTGGAACAAGAACGGCCATCTGAAAGTCCAGGGGTGAAGTCAAGCCACTGCAGACTCTTTGATATTTTCTTTGTTGTTGATCTTTCTTAAACTACCCAGTATTGATAAGATTGCCAGGAGGCAAACATGCTCCCAGTTGCCAAATAAAATCTAGAAAAATAGAATTGATAAAGACAAACAGTGCCTCAGTAGAGAAGACAAAGTCAAGGAAATCACATGGTCAGAGGTTGTCCTATTGGAAGGGAAGAGATTGTAGCGATCACACAAAACCAGAGTTGAAGGAAAAACTTATGAGAGAAGAAAACTGGGGAAGTGAAAGAGGGGAATTTACAAACCTTGCATAAATATATATTTCATATGTGTACCCTATATACGATGTACACACCAAATACACATCACGTATATGATATATAATATAAATACAAATACGTATAAGTATTTATTTATCTAATTGAACTAATGAATACATAGGGATTTGGAGACATTGAATATAACATTCTAATTACTATTCTGGTCAGTTGAAATTGAAAAAAATTTAGAAATACAAGAAGAAGGAGAAAAGCTGTGGTGAGCAACAGATGACCTGTGAAACACCAGGGAAGAATTCCAGGAGGAGGAGAGTGAGACTACAACAAAGAGCATTAACAGTATGTGTGAGAGAATGATAGGTTGTGTTCCCCCAGATTCATATATAGAAACCTAATCCCCAACGTGATGGTGTTTGGAGGTGGGGCCTTTGGGAGGCAGATCCCTCATGAATGGGATTAGTGTCCTTATAAAAGAGACCCCACAGAGCTCCCTTGCTCTTGCCGCCATGTGAGGACAGAGCGAGAAGACGGCCTCTGTGAACCAGGAAGGGGGCTCTCACCAGCCATCGAATGTGCCAGAGCCTTGATTTTGGACTTTTCGGCCTCCAGAACTCTGAGAAATAAATTTCTGTTCTGCATACGTCACTAGGTCTGAGATATTTTTGTTACGGCAGCCCAAACAGGCGAAGAAACTATCCCTGGCCAAAATATCTGGTATGGAGCTTGCTTTCCTGCTCAGGCCTCTGTGGAAAGTGAGCAGGAAAGCGAGAGCCTGAGCCAGTGAGGCTGAGTCTTAGCTGGGATTGGGGGAAGCCAAGGGAAGTACAAGAGAGACTAGAGGGAGCAGAAGACAACTAAATACCCCAAGGTCTGATGGCACTTGTCAGGGCTACGCCTCCCCTGCCACTCACTGAGCACTTTCTGTGAGACCTCTCCATAAGCGACAGGGGTGCCTCTTGTTGCCTCACCTCCACTTGGGTCTCTCCTCGCTCCTCAGCTGAGATCATCGCCTGACGGATGAGTGCCAGGCAGCCCCAGGCTCCAGGAGGAGATACCGAGAGTGGTGGAGGGTAAGGAGGAACACGACCCAGATGAAATGGATGTCAGGGTTGGAAAGCTCAGTGTTAAGAAAACCTGAGCAGGAGTGGATCCTGATGAGAAGAAAACAGAGGACATGGTCTTCGAGAGGAGTGGAGAGCACGAATTAAACGGAGTATCCTCGGGCCGGCCCCGTGGCTTAGCGGTTAAGTGCGCGCGCTCCGCTGCTGGCGGCCCGGGTTCGGATCCCGGGCGCGCACCGACGCACTGCTTCTCGGGCCATGCTGAGGCCGCGTCCCACATACAGCAACTAGAAGGATGTGCAACT